TGGTTGGGCAGTTGGAGATGAAAGCACAAAAGGCGCACTTACCATACAAATGGCCTCGCCGCGGAAGCCTGTTATCGGAGCATCTAATGGGGTAGTACAGGGGCCCAGGCGGTTGCCCCAGGCGGCCTGCGCAAGGCTTTCCTGGTTCCCAGGCAGCTGCCTGCGGTTGGCATGGGCTCTGGTGCCAGCTGCAGCTCCTGGCCCCTCCAGCTAAGAGTCCAGACAGGCTGAATTGCCAAGTGCCCTGGAAACCCCCCACCCTGTCCTGTGCTACCTCTTCAAGCACCCACATCCTGGGTACAGCCTCTGTGGGAGCCTTCAGGCCCCCCTGGGGGCAGAAACTAGGAAGGGGTGAGGGTGAGGAGGTCCTGAAAGCCTGGAACTTGGGGCATCCCCAGGTGCTGAGAAAAGCTCCTACTGGAGTGAGAGCTTCCTCCTGCCTCCACCAACCCTCCCAGCCCCTGCCAACCCCTATAGGCGAAGGGGACAGGCCAGGGTCAGGCTCTCCCAGAAACCCGGCTCCAGGTCCCTGAGTGGCTGCTGAGACCTCAGCCCTCTGGGAGCCTGGCCTGTTCCAGTCTTTCTCTTCTTCCCCCTTCTTCCTTTCTCCCTCCATTTCCTTGGGGTCTTTGGAGTGTTGGGGGTAACTAACCCTACCTCTTGAATCCAACTAAGTGCCTCCTTTCCCCGACCCAGGCTGGGAGCTTTTTGGGGAGACTGTGTCCTGGCAACCAGCCCAGAGCAGGTGCTTCACCATGACAAACATCTGGTGTTGCTGCCTGTGTTTGCAGAGGGTGGAGGGAGCTGCAGCCCCTTGCCCACGGTACAGCTGAGAGACGTGAAGGTCTCTGTCATCTGTCTCCTGTCACATCTCTCCCTTGCACCGATGTGGAGTTGTTGGGTGAAATGGACTTGGGGGAGTTGACATTCTCTCAAAGTCCCTCTGTGTGAGGCATGAGCTAGGATGAGTCCCAAGGCTAAAACAGCCTGGCAGATCTTGGAGGTCTGGATGGTTGAAAGGGGAGCTGCATTTCTCCTGGGGGTGGGGTGGTCGAGGGCCCCTTTCCTGGACTTTGTTCTGTTACCTTTAAGGTCACCCTCGTTGGGCAGTGAAGGAGGTGAGCACTGGGCAGTGCGGGGAGGAAAGATGTGAGACAGTGGGGACCAAGAGTGGACAAAGGCGATCTGGGGGTAGGAGGATGTGAGGAGAAGTTCTGAGAGATAACCTCGACCTTCATCCTCAGAGGAGACAACACTGGTGGGAGGCTGTGGGGCCAAAGCCAGGGGTTATGGCATGTGACCACGAGTGGTGGGGTGGCTGGGGAAGCCGGTGACCTGAGGTTGTTGCTGTCTTATTGTCCTGGGGGAGCCCAGCTGATGGAGCAGAGGTCACAGGTGGCTCCAGAACCCTTGAGCCAGGCAGAAGCCTGAGGAACAGTTATCCCCACCACTGCCAGAAGAAAAGCTGCCAAACTCCCAGGTTGTCCCCTCTGCTCTGCAGTTCAGCATGCTGGCTGCTGGCTTGCCTGAAAAGTGTCTGGTTGGTTACTGGACAATGTCTTCATTCAAGCCTCCTTGAATGAAGGGGTCTGGCATCATGGTGCAATACTGGCCTACCATATCAGAGGTCCAGTTTGAATCCTCACTGTTCTGCTTCCAATGCAGTTCCCTGCTAATGCATCTGGAAAGGCAGCAGACTTTAAGAGTCTCCCATGTGGGAGACTGTAATAGAGGCTTTGGCTGTGGTCTGACTATTGTCCGTTTGGGGAGTGAATCAGTGGATGGAGGCTCTCTCTTTGTCACTCTGCCTTTCTAGTAAATACATACATCAATCCCCCTTTGCCCAGATCTGTACAACTGATGAAGCTCACCCGAACTCCTCCAGCTGTGCATCTCACCCCAAAAGAGACGATCAAGATTTCACAAGAGGACCCTGGGGTGGGGTCCTGAGGCCTGGGTGCCAGAGTATGAGTTCCTCCAGAGGAAAAGAACTGGTTCACTCCTCCCGAGGAGGATGGCTGAATTGGCTGATCCCTGAATGGACTCTCACCTTCTGAAATCCAGCAGGAAACCTGCCCAAGCAGATACAGTAGACGGGCACCCATAAGCAAGTCCGCTAGCAAAGGACTGAATCCTTTCTTAGTTTGATCTCACAGCAACGTATCTTCCACAGGGAACTGCATCTGCCACATAGCAAGCAAAGGTGCTGTGGGTCCTGGAGAACCTCCTTGTGGGGGACCCCTGAGGCTGTGCTGGGGACCCCTCTGGGAGAGCAGCCCTGGGCAGACAGAGAGCCAGCGTGACCTGAGGCCTAAACACGGTTGACTGCTTTTCCTGATCATTAATCACTGCTAAGTACCATTACCACTAATAAAATTAACTGACTTGATACTGGACTCTGGGAGCCATCAATCTCAGGGTCTATTACATGAAATTAAAAAGGCAGGTGCCCATCGAGAAAGGGGGAGTTTGCCAGGGCTGGCTCATAAGCACAGCCCAGGGAAGTCTGCCATTGGACAGCTTTCGGGAGCTCACCAAGGGTGACACTGTAGGCTATACCACTAGCCACGAGCCTTCACACACTCACGGGCGCCTCCAGCCAAGGACATGGTGGGACTCCGAGAAGCTCCTGGGCCCAGGATCCAAAATGCCATCCCAGCTCCCCGACCGTCTTTCGCCTCTGTTTTCTCCATGTATTTGCTTCATTCTTATTATTTACTTTTATTTTGAAAAGTAGAGTTACAGAGAGAAAAGGAGAGATAGAGAGATCTTCCATCCACTGGTTTACTCCTCAGATGGTTGCAGTGGTTAGAGCTGAGTTGATCCAAAGCCAGAAACCAGGAGATTCTTCCAAGTCTCCCCGTGTGGGTGCAAGGGCCCAAGCACTTGGACTATATCCTCCACTGCTTTCCCAGGCCATTAGGAGGGAGCTGGATGGGAAGTAGAGCAGCCAGGATTTGAACTGGTGCCCATCTGGAATACTAGCACTACAGACAGAGATTTAACTTGCTATGCCATGGTGCCAGGCCCTGCTTCATTCTTCTTCTCTCTGGATCATCTCTCTGTTTACCAAACAGCCAAAGAGAGAAAGAGCAGGAGAGCGATCATGGCTTTCTTGAGTCACTGTCTGGATTCCCAAGGAAAGGGCTGACTGGGTCATGTGATCACCATCAGTCCAGTCAACAGACCAGAGAGCAGTGAGGTCACATTGTAGAAAATGACAGACAGGAACCCTGTGGCCACCATTTAGGTAGAAGGCACAGGCCCAGCAGCTGTCCACGATGGTCACGTAAAGGGCTTGGGAGAAAGCAAAAAGTGAGAGGTACAGTAATGCACCTGGAAGTAGCAAGTGACAATCCTAGAAGGTGCATTATGTGACACACGTGGAAGGGGACTAGCTCCTCCTCTAGTAGCATCTGTGACAGGCCTTGAGAGATGTTCTGCCCATTGGCCAAAATTCCTGTCACTCTACGCTGGTCCTGTGCTTCTCCAAGGGAGGGCCCAGTCTCTACAGCGTAGAGACCACGCAGCCCAGCCCCTGGCAGGGGGTGAAGGGCACATGAGTGGTCCAGTGGGCATGGCCCCTGTGCATTGTTCGGCTGCCCGGCTGCCCTCCGCTCTGGAAAGGCAGTCAAGGTGGGGCCTCCTTGGCTGGACTGGACATTAGGTTCTGCCCTGGACTTGCCAGGGGTCAAGTTCTGAGGGTTTCCTGCCAGGCTACAGGGAGGAGTTTGGGTGCAGGCCTGGTGGACTGGAAATTTACCCATTTACCCCCAGATTAATAATTAACGGGCCCCTGCCCTCACCCTGTCTGGGAGGGGAGCCCAGGGCCAGGCTGGGCCCACGGGAGCCCGATAGCATCAGTGTCTGCTCGGAGGGTTCCGAGCTACGCGCCACGCCGGGCTGACTGCACCTGACAGCCTTGTGGTCTGTGGGCACTCCCTGGGGGCTCCTGGAGCCAGGCCAGGGCTCACGCCCCTTGTGGGGCAGGGAGCCTTCCTACTCTTGGGGAAGGCGGCGAAGGTGTGGCATGTAGCCAGGTGTCCTGGCTAAGGCAGGAGGCTACCCTCAGGAGCCAGATCCCTCCTTGGCTCCGTCTAGCCAAATTTCACGGGCTGTCACCTTGACCGGTGGCCCAGGGGCACTCCATGTCAGATGCCTCATCCAAGCGGGAGCCCAGCAGCCTTGACTTTTCCCGCCATGACGCTGGTGTGTCCCAGAGAGAGACCCTGGAATGGTGGGAGCCCCACTCACACAGGGTGGGGAGGCCTTTGAACATGGCAGAAGAAGTGTTCTTCTGGGAGGAGAGAGTAGCTGCCCTCCCTCAGCTCTCAGTGCTGACCCCTTGCATGAGCCAGGCCAGAAGGGCCTGAAGGGAGACTCTCCCTGGTTAGGAAGGAGAGGCCTGGGAAACGGCAGCCTGCACGCCCTGGTCCATCATTTGTGCTTTCCACGTCCTCCTCCCAACAAGCCTGGCAGGGCCACAGGGTCAATCTCTCCACTAAACAGAGGAGAAAACCCAAGCTTTACCCTTGCCCAGCTGCGAGGTGACAGTCAGGCAAAACAGGGGGACTTTGGCCATGGGGGAGCGAGCAGCCTGGCATCAAGAGCCTGGTGGGCATCTGGCTGCTTCGTCTTCACCCCATTCTCCCTCCTCCCTACTTCTCCCATGTCTCCCAAGCATCTGTTGGCACCTGGCACAAAGCAAACAGAAGGTTGAGGCTCTCCCTGGGATGATGGAGTGGGTCCCAGACAAATGCAGATTCCCAGGCCATGCATCAAGCCAGTGGAATCAGAACGACCAGGTTGGGTCCTGGGAACCCACGCTATTAGCAAACACCTGGGGACAGGGGTGGGTAAGGAGGGTAAAGACTTTGCTTTCTCACTCTGTAAAACAGAGCACAACCCAGGGGAGACACCTGGAGCTCCATGAAGTGCCCTGGGTCCTTGCCCATCATGGTCCTCCAAGGCTCACAGCGTCCCTCCTCTTCCCCCTGCAGCCTGACTGGACGCGAGATTCTCACGCCCTTCCCAGGCCTGGGCACTGCCGCAGCCCCGGTCCAAGGGGGTGCCCACCTGGAGCAGTGTGACCTGCTGAAGCTGTCACGCCGGCAAAAGCAGCTGTGCCGTCGCGAGCCTGGCCTGGCCGAGACCCTGCAGGATGCTGCACGCCTCGGCCTGCTTGAGTGCCAGTTCCAGTTCCGGCAAGAGCGCTGGAACTGCAGCCTGGAAGGAAGAACCGGCCTGCTCAAGAGAGGTGGGACCCGGGACTGTCTGCCTGCCTGCCTGCCTGCCCACCCCAGCATAGCCCCTACCCAAGGAGCCCTAGGGCTGCCAGTCTGTGCCCAGGTGTGGGGAAGCAGGGAGCTGGGAAGACCCAAGAAAGGGAGAGACACGAGCCCATTTCCCCGGATCCCACTGATGAGACTGCAGGTCCTTGCTCCTTCCTTCTGCCTTCTCCATGCACATGCACACACATGCCTAAGCACCCATGCATACACACACATGAAGCAAGGTGCAAGAACACATGTGGGAGCACCGGCCACATGGCAGCTATAGCTGAGTCCTTCACTCATTCCTTCCCCTTTCTCACTTTGTCACATCTGTGGCTCCAGTCCCCCTATTCCTCTTCCTTCCCCACCCAGCTCTCTTCCTTCTTCCTGTGCCACCCCATGCCTCCACAGACTCACCCTCCCATCCTGGGTACCTAGAGAGGCTCAAGGGGAACCAAGCATGTGTTAGATGCCTGAGGGACACAGCTGGCCAAGTGCCACCTGCAGACATGGACCAAGGCTGATGGCAGGGACCTTCAAAGAAGTGCGGAGATGGTTTGCCACAGCAGGGGGAGGCCTGGGGTCGAGCTAATGGCCTGCAAGTCTGTACCTGAAAGTGTTGCCAGCAGCATGCTGCACTGGGGCGCAGGCGGGAGGCAAGGGCTGTGGGAGGCCAGGGTTAGGCCCTGGAAGCAGATAGGATGGTCAGGTTGGGACAAGCCAGGTGGGAGAGCCCAAGGTCATCTGTCATTGGCCAGCTGCACCAGAGGCAGCAGCAGGAAGCACTCCTCCGAAATGAGTTGCTACATGGGTTGCCATGACCCCCTGCCTGGTTCACCTCTCCTAACTTCTGTACATGCTTTCTCTACATGCTACCGCCCTGCAGGCATATGGGAGCATGTCCTGTAGTGGCTTTGGAAGCTCCTTTGATACAGCAGCTGGTGGCCCAAGGGCAAAGGGCAGGTGACAGGAACTAAGGTCCAGGGGTGACGGACAGCCTCTGACCTTGCTCCCCACCCTTCCTCCTTCCCACTCCCCACCCTGGTGCCCGGCACAGGCTTCAAGGAGACGGCCTTCCTATACGCGGTGTCCTCGGCTGCCCTCACACACACGCTGGCTCGGGCCTGCAGCGCGGGGCGCATGGAGCGCTGCACCTGTGACGACTCCCCAGGGCTACAGAGCCGGCAGGCCTGGCAGTGGGGCGTGTGTGGCGACAATCTCAAGTACAGCACCAAGTTCCTGAGCAACTTCCTGGGTCCCAAGAGAGGCAGCAAGGACCTGCGGGCACGGGCAGATGCCCACAATACCCAAGTGGGTATTAAGGTGGGTACACTGACCATGGTGCCCTCTGCAGCTAGAGAGTCAGGCCTGCAGGGGACAGGCACCCTGTGCCCCAACACACACCCAGAACTGCCCGGTACTGAGCCATTTTCCTGTGCTACCCTCATTCCTGGGGCATCTACCCTGGACCACTGCCAGTTGCCAGACACATGGTAGACACAGGTCAGGGTCCTGGGCACCATCGGGGACTGAGCAGGAGCCCTGCTCGAGGGCCAGGCCTCGGGAAGCAAGGACATGTCTAAACTAGGGTCTGTACCTGCTGGGGATCCCACAAGCCAACTTCCTTTGAGAGTTTTGATCTTGGGCACCCCCATTCCTTCCTGCAATGGAGGAGGCTCAGAAAGAGGAGGGACTTAGCTGAAGTCATGCCGTAGTGTAAAACCTGGGTAATAAGCAGTATTGAGGACTGTTGGGGTGAGTAGACTGGGAGAGGCTGGCGTTTTGGTTCTGTAGAATTCTGTGTCTGGGGCCAGTTGTGTGAATAAGAGCTACCACGTTCAGTTGCATGGGTCATCCACTGCATAAGAACTCCAGGCCAAGGTAGAGAGCCTGGGCACTTATGGGCCCACAATGCTGTTGCCAAGGTAGGCTTGTTAGCCCAGGGCTACCCCTGCCTAGAGGAAAGGGAGCCTCTGGGACTCTGCCTGGCTCAACCATAGGCCCTGATTGTGCCTCCCTCCCTGCCTCTCCTCCTAGGCTGTGAAGAGTGGGCTCAGGACCACGTGCAAGTGCCACGGTGTGTCAGGGTCCTGTGCTGTACGCACCTGCTGGAAGCAGCTCGCCCCATTCCGTGAGACAGGCCAACTGCTGAAGCTGCGCTATGACTCGGCCGTCAAGGTGTCCAGCGCCACCAATGAAGCCTTGGGCCGCCTAGAGCTGTGGACACCCGCCAAGCTAGGCAGCTCCACCAAGGGCCTGGCACCCCGGCCCGTGGACCTTGTCTACATGGAAGACTCGCCCAGCTTCTGCCGACCCAGCAAGTACTCACCTGGCACAGCGGGCAGGGTGTGCTCCCGGGAGACCAGCTGCAGTAGCCTGTGCTGTGGGCGGGGCTATGACACCCAGAGTCGCCTGGTAGCTTTCTCCTGCCACTGCCAGGTGCAGTGGTGCTGCTACGTGGAGTGCCAGCAGTGTGTGCAGGAGGAACTGGTGTACACCTGTAAACATTAGGCCTATTGCCTAGTCAACCTGCTGGGCACTGCCAGGGCTCTTCCTGTGCGTGTTCAGTGGCCCCCTGGGCAGGAACACCCACTGAACATGCACACATGTACACACGCACACACGTACACTCACGTATCCCGAAGGTCGTGCCAATGTATGACCCTGGCTCCCTGGCTCAGGCCTGCTTTGTGCCTCTCCCAGCAGTTGACAAAGGGAAGCCATGCCCCATGCTCCCATCAAAGGGTCCTCAAGCTTGCTGAGGATTTGGCAATGGAGGCAGAGGTGGGAAGGGATGTAGGGGCAAAAGAGGGAGACCATGAGCAGAGCAGGAATGAGGGTCTGGGGGGTAGGCAGGGCCATCCCTGGGATATGTGGCATGGAGCCAGCGAGGCACCAGCAGGTTCACTCCTGGGCCAGCTGGAGACCAAGGTGAGCGCTTGGCTGGAGTGGATCCCAGTAGCCCCTGGTTCTGTTCAGGTTGCAGGGAGCTGTGGCTGCCACACACATTCCCTAAAGCCTGTGGCTTCACTGTGTCCAGATAGGCAGAAAGGCCAGGCAGAGGAGCTGCTTGTGTGGGGAGAGGAAGACTCCAGGCTTGAGTGAACAGCTGTCCGCTTTGTGCCTGGAAACCCTGTGTCCTTGACTTCCCATACCAGTCTGCCCTGAGGCTTTGTTCTGTCTTGATGCCGAGTTGTGCTCATATCCACCCGCTCTGCTTCCTACGACCACCAATGCAGGGAAGACAGGTGGGACAGCCAATCCCCAGGGTGTGCACAGAATGGCAACCTCTCCCCATTCGCCCTGGTCACCAAAGGAACCTTTCAATTCCAGTCTAGGACAGGGGGCATGCCAGTTTCCTGGTGCACAGCAGGCAGGTGACAAGTTCTAGCTTTTCAGCCTGCTCTGGGGTCACCCCTGCCTTGGCTTACGATCCTGCTGCAGAGCAGCAGGCTCCTGAGTTGGGACTCTGGTTACGTTTCCATGCTGGCGCTCATTCCTGGGAGGAGTCCAGCCCCTGGGTAGCCCTGGCCTCGCGCTCATGTGGGCTCCAACCTGAGAGACAGAAGTGACTCTGTGGACTTCCTTGGATCCTGTGGATATTTCCTGTGCCACCTGCCAAAGCCAAGTGTGAAGGCAAGGAGAGAGACTGGCACAGAGAGACTGGCACAGAGGCAGCCCCGCCCGGGGCCAGGCCCGGCACTCCACTGGGCAGCCCGCGCCTCTCTGGCACTGGACAAAGGCTACACCCCGGTCACTCTGCTGTGTGCTTGCCCAGAGTGTGGCCTGAGGCCAGCTGGGAGGAAGTGACCTCCTCCGGGAAGCCCCGTCCGCTTGGCTGGCCCTACCGCACCCTGCAGCAGCTTCCGTTCTCACTGAACCTAGGGTTGCTGACCCTTCGCTTAAACAGGAAGCTGCAGCCTGGCCAAGGGCGCCAAAGCCTCATCGCCGCAGCTCCAGGGGTGGGGAAGAGCTACCCTGGCTGTGATGGTCCTGGGTGGCCAGTTCTCCTCTCAGAAGTGACCCAAGAGCTTCTCGCTGGAGAAAGAAGGATCAACTAGTTTTCGAGATTTTTCAGCTCCCCTGCTGCATGGAGACTCTCTGACAGCTCCATGCACCTTGCTCCTCTGGGCCACAAGCCCTACTTGCTCCCTAGCTCAGCCTTGGTCAGAAGGTGGTAAAGGCCTCACCAGCTCAAGCAGGGGCCTGAGGGCAATTTAGTAACCAGGGCTTGCTGATCCCACCTAATCTGCACCCCAAAACCATGGCCAGCTGAACCCCAGGCTCTGAGAATAAAGGGAAGACTTTTTGCCAGATCCCTCAACTCATAGGGGCCCCTCTCATCCTCCACTCTGATCCCATCCCTAAAGATCCCCACAGCCCTGCTAGGCCCCGTGGGCACCAGAGGGGCCAGAGACCCCCACCCCTCTGCAGCTGGAAGGCACACGCTCACAGGGTATGCTGTCTACCTCACATATATAGTTTCTAGGGCAGAAGAGAATAATTTATATGGCTAAGATATATGGGAAAGTATTTATGTTATTTATATAGTTTCTGTATTTCAGAGGTGGCACATGTGGTGGTGGGGGCATGTGTTAACTAGGATCTCCTGGTCTGGGGAGGTATGGTCTGGCTCCACGGGAGGCCTTGCTGAGCAGGATGCAGGTGGCCGGGTAGGCACCCATGTGGCAGTGGGCTTAACCTGGAGCCTTCCTACGAAGGCTGTATTAGCCCTCATGGCAGTGCTTTCCTGAAATGATCAGGACGGTAAGGGCAGCACACCTGGCCCCAGGGTGGTGTCCCTGGCCCAAGGGTGGCACACCTGGCCCATGGGGGGTCACACTCAGGGCTCAGAGATGCTCTGTCCCTCTTACCTCATTCGGTCACCATGGTCCCCACAAGGTGGGTGAGGCACCATTATTGTGCCAATTTTGTAGATGAAGTATAGAGATAGAAGGCTGTGTGCAAAGTCATGCTGAAGAGATGTGCTCGATGCCTGTCTTCAGACTGTTCTCACGGCCCAGCACTGGATCTGGGTGGCCAGTGGGCATGGCCCTCCCTTAGCAAGGTCCCCCAGGCCTCAGGAAGGAGGACTGGAAGGGGCCTGCGTGGAAGGTCCCCTGCCCACACCAAGCCCAGGACATTATGCAGCATCCCCAGGCCCCTCACACATGAGTTCTGTTTGCTCTCATTTGTGTTTTTCTTTTGAGGAATGAATTGTTCTAGAAAAGTCAGGCGTGTAGCATCCAAGCCTGTATTCCCACTTGGCCAGGGAACCCAAACCAGCAGGACCCAAGGGCACCCAGGTGGTCTAGGGCCCCTGCCCCACAGCCCTCCTGGCCCCTAGATAGCCCAGCCAGGCTCCCATGGCCTGCAGTGCCCACCCCTTGATCCAGCTTTCCTAGCTTCTTCCATTGCCTGGTAGTCAGAACAGCAGGCAGACCTGGGCCACTCACTTTCTGAAGTTTCCTGACAGCCATGAACTTAAAATGCTTTTTATCTGTGCACCTAATAGAAGTACCACGGGAGCCATCATTTCTTGATGGGGTGAATCATCGGTTTACTCATTCAGTTAAGAGTTGGGATGCACTGGTGGACCAGAGCCAGTCTCTGCCTTGGTTGGGGGAGCAGGGCTGACATCCTCCTGGGAAAGAAAAACAATAAACCAACAAATTACTGTCAGCCTTCTGTGTGTGTCTGACCTCTGTTTATTGCCATGCCCATGCATTTTGGACAGTTGGACGTGACCACCTGCAGTAGTCCAAGCAGCAAGGGTTCACAAATGCCTCAGACAAGCATTGGGGGTGGACTGGAACCCAGGAGTGCCCGCCCCTCTGTGGGGGCTGCCTTCCTGGCATGTCTTTGGGGGGCCGCCATGTCCCAAAGTCTGATGGAGATGGCTCTTTCTCAGCACAGGGTAGCAGAGAATGCCATCACCGGGCTCAGGCCCACTCCTGCTTCTGCTCTTCTGCCCAGAATGCCTCATATGGGGTCCTTGAAGAGGGAGGCAGAGGAGGGCTGCACGCCAGCCTCGAGGGCACGTGAATCCCCTCTGCATCCCTGTCCTGCTGTGTTCCCACCACCCAGTGCTCAGGGCACAGGGACAGCTGGTCCTGAGCCACTGTGGGCAGATATCTCTGGGCTCTGGCTTCTCCAGGATTTTCTCACCAGGTGGTAGGCTTCTGCCCTTTCCAGATAGGGAAACTGAGGCACAGAACAGTTAAGTGCCTCACAGAAGGTCCCAAGAGGCAGGTCCAGGCCTGTGTCTCCAAGCCCTGTGTCTTTTCACTGTATGGCTCCAGTCACCCCATCCCATGTGACCTTGCCTAGCCCAGCCTGTAAATAAGTCATTTTCCAAATCTGCCCAAGACCTCTCTGTCCTTGGGACCTCTGGGTAGCCCAGGCCTTGCACTCATGGTCCCTGGGACCAGGGCTTGCTGACACAGTCAGGAGCTGAGTGCTCTGCCTGGGGTGTCCCCGCTTTTAAAGACATGTGGCCACATTGGTCACCTCTCTTGGTATGTACAGGTCTATTTTGCCCAACAGCTTGGGAAAACAGGAGACACCAAGACACTGAAATTCTCCATCCCGCATCTCTGGAGATTGCGAACCTTCCCCAGCAAAAACCTCCAGCCAATGGCCTACCTGGAGACTGGCCTTGCACAGAATTACCAAGGACACAGTCCAGAGCCAGTCTTGGCCAAGTGTCCCTGGAGATGGCCTTGTTCACACCTCTCTGCCATCCAGGACCCAGATGAGGCACTGCAGGGGCTGGGGCTATGGCTCAGCAGGTTAAACCACCGTGCACATTTCTGCCATTGCATTTCAGATGAGTCAGCTGCTCTGCTTTTGGTCCAGCTCCCTGCTAACGTGCCTTGCAAGGCAGCAGAAGATGACCCCAGAGCTTGGGCCCCTGTACTCTACATGGGAAACTTGGATGAATCTCCTGCCCTGGCCTTTGTGGCCACTGGAGGATCTTTCTCTGCCTATCTCTCTCTTTGTCTGTCACTCTGCCTTTTAAAGAAACAAAAATCTGGGTCTATCACAGTAGCCTAGTGGTTAACTCCTCACCTTGCAACCTCCAGGATCCCATGCGAGCACTGGTTCGTGTATCAGCTGCTCTGCTTTCATCCTGCTCCCTGCTTGTGGGCTGGGAAAGCAGTAGAAGATGGCCCAAAGTCTTGGGACATTGCACCTATGTGGGAGACCTGGAGGAGATTCCCGACTCCTGGCTTCGGATCGGCGTAGCACCCACTTGGTCACTTGGGGAGTGAATCATTGGACAGAAGATCTTCCTCTTTGTCTCTCCTCTCTGTAAATTTGCTTTTTTAATAAAAATAGATAAATCTTTTAAAAACAGAGAAACAAATCTTTAAACAATTTGAAACGCTGCACTTTGCTGTCATAGCTCTTTAGTGCCTGTGGTTTAAAGTCCCTGACTTCCAGCTTTCATGATGGTGTGGATAGCTGGGGCAAGCCCTAGCAGACCCTCTCTCCCCGAGAACTGTTTC